GGAAGATAAGCTTTTGGACCTAAAAATACCGTCAATTTGGCCTGCCATGGTACCATCTGGAGATCGTTTGTAATTACTATAGTTGTTGGGTTAGCGCACACCCCTTCCAATAGCTGGTGGAGAACTGATGATAACTACCATGAAAATGGCATCTTTATTTATAGCAATGCTGAGAAAGTGCTTAATTGGTTAAAAAGCTGAAAAAAAAATGCTCTTCTTAATATAGATTTGAGTTCAGCAACAAAAATGGTAATAATTATCAGAAATGTATTTCAGAAATGCAACATTTTATTAATCTGGAAGCAAATAAGTTGCTTACTAACGAATGTCAGGAGGGTAAGGTGGTGTCCTTTCCTTGGAGTTCCCTTCCCCAGGTGTTATTTTATGCCTCAAATGATAAAAGACATTTTGCTGCTGCTCAATGGGAGAAAGCAAGCTTGTAGTACAGAGTATGCAGGCACAAGTGAACCAGTTTTTTCCAGCTGGAACTAGGTTGTTGCTATAGCAACATCCAAATGATAGACAGATTTTCTGAATGTGCAGTGGTCTACTGTGATAACAGAGCTTCCAGGATTTCTACTAAATAGCTTCAAACTTGTGAGAATGCAATAAAACCAAATGCCACATCTTTGAAATAACACAAGCAAACAAAAGCCAGTGCAATAACAAAACCATTTTTCACCTAGCTTTCAAATAAAAACCCCACTTAACACATAGCATTTATATTCCTAGACAATATCTTCCTGCCAATCTCTTTTTAGTGCACTGGCATACCAAATGACAGACCACACTCCAAGTTTAACACCACCTACAGACCCATTCAGTACGGTGGCACGCAAAGCGTTGTGTGCACAAGATGCTAGTTCCTTCAGTCTTTTTTTAGGATGCATGCTGCCTGCACATCAGTGAGGATCCCATTGAGTCAGTGAAGCCTCGCAAGAACACCCCACTCTCTTCATCACTATGTTTTGCAGCACGGAGACTAACTGGCTGAGCACATGTTGGAACAGATAATATATTCATACACAATCCAAAAAGAAGTTTCCCTGGGCCACTTCCATTAAAAATAAAACATACCTGCATCAGCCATGTCCCCTTTGAACACACTGGACACATAGTTTCATTCAAAGCAGCTTCCTCCTCTGCTCTTCCTGCTCTGCTCCATGGGAGGAAGGTCCAGGATTTTGGAAGAAATCCTTTCCTGAGCACAGCCGGGGCTCATGAGCTCTGCAGAGACTATTTGGCTGTGTCTCTTCATCATCCATTACCTCTCAGTGGGAATGCTCCTGCACTGTCTGCAGTCTGCAGCTTACAGTGTGTTTAATGTCCTTTTGCCCCAGTACCCAATCCCTCAGGCAGCTCCTCTCCCTAGGAAGCTGCTGCCAATTATATTGGTGAAATCTTCCAGTGAACTTAGCCTGTTGTCTGTAAAGATGTTTTTTTGTCCCTAGTGGAATGTAGCTGTAAATCCAAGACAGAGGTTTTGACCTGTTTGTGTGTACGAAATGTAGTCTGTACTTAGATTACCCTCAACACCCTTAGATCTGTAACCTAGTTATTACTGATGACTTCATCCTCACAAGAGACCTGATATATAGGAAGGTTTTAATAGCAGCTTTGATGTAAAAGCAGCTGGTAACTTGGAGACCTTTGCACAAAAGAGAAGTCCTGGGTGGAGCTGGAAGCCCAGTTCTCTTCATTTCAGGGCTTGGATCTTAGGCACACAACCTTTCTTCTAACAAGTGTTTCCAGATTAGATAGAGAAGGTAAACTTTCATATATGTTAAAAACTCAGTGTCTACGGAAGGGTGTTAGAAGCCAAAAGTCGCATGTGCTTTCAGGCATGGTAGTAGATATATGACTTAGGAATTAATTAATAAAGAAAAAAATAACTTACAGTTTAGTTAAATAAAATTATATGCATTTGAATTTTGGTGGGTTTTAGTTATCTTAATACTTAAGACCACATTGGAACATACTTTTCCTCTTGCTTATGTGGTTTATACAACTTTGATAACGTCCTGCAGTAAGGCTCAGCTAAATGAAAAGATGAATTGTCTTTATGATTCACGAGGCACTTTGGATAATTAATTACTCGGCATTTATGGTTTGGCATGTGGTCATCAATCGTTCAAAAAATTCACATTTGTAAACATATCCTTTGCAGCTGGTCTTCTTATGTCAGACTTCAAAATGACTGGTGGAGATATAAGAGAGCTATAAATGTTTTTCTTTGAAATTTACTGGTTGTGCTCCAGTTTATTTCTTGTGGGAAAAATTAAGCAACAGATGTGGGAGGACAGGAGCACTAAGAAAAAATGGTAAATTATCTTGAATGGTTCTCAGATTCACTTTCTTTTCCCTATTTCATTAGTAGATCTTGGAATCTCTAAACCCTCCTTGCTGTGGCTTGGATCTGGCAGCATTGTTCTGGTGTTAGGATGGCTTTGTGAAAATTTTTGAAAAGTCTGAGGTCAGGTAGGAGGAAAAAAGATTCCTGAAAGAGTAGGCTTTATTTATTTATTTATTTATTTATTTTAATAAAAAAAATAAAAAATCATGGCTTACAAAACAAATCTTAATACTCTATTTTATGTTTTCAAATCATGCAGTGATTTGATGTGGCAGAAATCAAAACTGTTTGAGCTAAAAACTTTTGTGCTGGGGATGAATTTTGCTACATGAGACAGGTGCACTGCAACTAGCTGATTCCAGCACTGCATAATTCTGGTTCATCACCACCCAAGGTGGTGCTCAGCTGCTCAGAGCCCTCAAAGAGGCAGACACTACATAAGGAAAAAGAAATGCCTGCTTATACGTATGGGGGCCACAGGATCATTCAGACAGACTCATCTTCAGGTTTCTTGAGCAATCTTATTTCTAGCATTTCCTAACTTAGAAACACTTGTCATTTCAACCTGTATACTTTGTACAAAGTAAATGACAGTCATTATATATATATGCATGCATGGAAATACAGAGAGCGTACGCTGCATCTATTTTTACAAGTGATACAGGAAACTAAACACCACTCATTTAAATTATAATGTCTTCTGGTTTCGCTCGGTCGCTTTTATAAAGAGCATACTATTGTTCTTAAAATCTGATAACCGTAACACAGGGCGGAACTTTTATCTGCCTTAAATGCAGGCTTCAGCTACAGACATGTTGAAGGACGTATATTTAGAATTAGAAGGATTCTTGGCTGACACAAAGCATGCAAACATCTGCACGGTTTGTGCTGAAACAGTAACTGTTGTAAGGAAGAACATCTCTTGGGAGGCCACAACCCAGGCATCTGGCCAAGAGTAGGTACAATTTCGGTGATCACACAGGTTCCACATGCAGATCATCGTGACTCTCACGCTTGTTCAGTTTGACCTTCTGGCAGGTCTGCTGTTGGTTTTCTGGTCCTGTACACTTGTCTGGCTCTTTCTTCCTAATATTTCACTATCCCCACACACAAGGGAAAGCCATGATCCCCCACATCCAGTAAGTATTTTCCAATCGTGTTTTGGATGTGGAGGAATAGGAGTCTTTAGTACAGGTGGGTTTGTGGTTCAGTAAGATATTAAAAGGTGAGCAAATCTGTTTATCTGCTGCATATAAGACCTGACAAAACTCAACAGTGCCAGTGTTGATAGCATTTTGTCTTTCAGGGTGTAAACCTGCAGTCTGTTAATGTTGCCTGCATGCTTAATTCACAGCACTTCGAAGGCATAGAGAAGCCAAAAGTGGAGTAAGGGATAGGGTGAGTCAGGTTCTAGATACTATAAAGTCACATGCAGCATGTGTGCAAGGCACGCAACACTCTCTAGTGCTGGGACCACAGATTGCTGTATTGAGACAGAGGAGAAATAGCCAGCTCTGGCCGTAGTAGAAGCAGGGAAATTCACTTTATCTGCATTTATCTTTGCTTGCCTCAGACATTGGGTTGATTAGTAATTATTGCAGGTTCATTTGTGCTGTGGTTTATGGATAAGGAAGACGGCTCTGAAGGCTGGTTCACAGTATCAGTTCTTCCCTGGTAAACAGGTTAAAGGAGCATCATGCTCCGAGGAGAGGCTGAGCAAGCACTATGCAAAGGAACATGTGGACAATAAAAACTCCTTGAGTACTACTGTGGAGCATTTTTTTAACTTATGCAGGATGGAGATCAGAAGTGCATAGCTTGTGCTGTGCAGGATTTAGAGGTTTGTGTGCTTAGAAGCAGTAGTGAGGTATCCAGAAAGAAGAATCCACGGGAAATAAATCAATAGTGTTGCATTATGTGTTATGAAAAACCTTCAGAAATGTTTAACATAGTTATCTAAATTAATGCAGCAAATGAGTTTCAGCATAAATTACGCAGTCATTTTCTCTCCTACTGATGCACATGATAGGGAAAGAGATTTTGCATTGCTAAATAAAGAGAGAACACGGGGTAGAGATACCTTTGCATATCTGGACTATGGCTTGCAGCATATAGAAGGCCACTTGTTTGCCTGCCAGTTATGCCTGGCTATGTTAGAGAAGCTGTATCTCGCTATAGTTATTTTCACCTGCACATGATGATACAGACTTTTTTTTTTTTTGGGGGGGGGGGTGTAGGCGGTGAGTGGGAGAGAGGTGTGTAGGGGGGTAATGTGTGGAGCGATGTTTGTTTTACATCTGTTTCTAGAAGCTGCAGTTCAGGTGTAGTTATACCAGTATGAAAGTACCGTTTGGACTAGGGGAACTCATTTTGCAGCCTGAAGCAGAATGAGCTGTACCAATAGAAGCACATGTAACAATTATAATTGCACTGGGACCCAGGGAAGCTAGAATGGTTTCTTTACTAGTGCAGCTAAAGCTGCAAGACTTGTTAATGTAAGTAAGTCTTTAGATGAATTTTTCCCACTCAAGGTGTTCCCACGGGAAACAACCCCAGCTTCCTCAGGCCTTTCAATGCAACATGGAATGGAGTGAAAGAAGTGGGGGTCCTAAGCTGGTTATGTGCAACAAGGTAAGATGTTCTTAGACCCAGAACTTCAGAAATATGTCTGGTTTCTTTCTGAATACCAAGCAAATGGAGTCTCTGGGCGGTGTAATAATGGTTTCATTTTTACCAGCTTGATCACTTTTATTTGTGAATAAAGCCATTGGATTCTGTTGGGAAATAAGCATGTTGTGTAAGCTTGCTAGCCCTACTCCAGCTAATTCACACCAAACAACCTGAAACCACTGCACACACTCTCCTGCTGTCTTATGACCACTGCAAAATTGTCTGCAAATGGTCTGAAGGACACTGTTTCAGCTAGAGGCTTGCCAAGTGCACAGCACCTCAGCATAAAGAGATAAGACAAGAGAGAATTTACTTCAAATTGAGCAATCTTAATTATACAAGGAGAATAACTTTTCTGAGAAAAATGATGTCTTTCTCTGACTTTTTGTGCTTCAGGGATTCTTTTTGCTTGATTTGTTTTTACATTCCTTTTAAATATGTGTGAAGCAGATGAAGGTTTGGTTTGGGACAGGTTTGCTACATCCACATCTGTCAGAGCCTAAACCATGCTCTGACATTTCTTTAACTTTCTCAGATCTTGAATTCAAGATCTTGGGTTCTCTGCTCCTGGCCTGCAGTGGACATGTTTGAAGAGGGCCATCCTTGAATCATGCTGTGGTCAAGTTGAGGTTGGTCCTAGAGTGCAAATGTGCCAAATGTGTATTAACAAATCATTCTGTCACCTCTATTCCTTTCAATGTTAAATCTCATAGAAGACCCAAATTCTTGGTTTGCCAGGACATTCTCATTAATCTGTCCATTTTTATGAATATAGTCAGCTACTTTTTTATGGCCCATCTGTTCAAAACAGCATTTAAAAGCTATTTAAAAGCTATCTTCTTACCAAACCTTCTGCCTATGGATATAGTCTGGAAAGGGAGCAACAGCTCCAAACTGTAGACACCCAAGTTCTGATATCTACAAGTAGGTATTGATATATAAGTTAGATCCTTAAACGCCCATTACACTCAGTGGAGAGCTAGTCAATACAGTGACAGAGCACAGGGAGCATTCATCTCATCCTGAAGTAAACACCTCTTAGCTAGTCAGCTGAATCACTCTCCAGACTCCATTGAGTGCCTGGAGTTAGGGAAGGAGAAAAGAACATTGCCAAATCAAACTGAATAGAATAGCTTTCAAGACATTTTTCCTGACTTTGGGCAGAGACAGTATTAATCTCCTTGGCTTGCAATAGTCTTGTAGAGGCTATAGAGGGGCAAACTTACTGCAAGAACCAAGAAACCGACACATCTATGAACCAAATCAAACTGTCTGGTGTGGGTACAGGTTTCAGATGCGTGAGAAAAGGAAGGAAGCTCCAGAACTGAGAAGCTCGGTTGTATAGACATGAACAGTGTTTGTTTCTCAAGTTTTTTAAAGTATACCCTCACAGGTTTTTTTGTGAAAGTGCCAGACTTTATGTTTCTGGTAATAAACAGTTGATGTGTATGCCCTGAAGTGTTCAAATGAATAGTAAATTTTATTGAATCTGGGGGAGGGGAAAAGAGAAGGGGCTGTATCTGGAGTGTTTGGAGATGAAGTCCAAATCTGTAGAACTCTGCACAGTGTCCTAGAAATCCGGGGACAGAATCCCCAGAGTGATAGATAATGTCTCTTTCTTTGCTTAATGTCATTCATTAGTACAAGTTTAGTTTCATTAAAATGGATGCTCAACTTCTGTATGAAAATATATTAGTAAATACATATTCATTTCCCAGACTAGCTCTTTTGCATGCATTGTTTCTAGAGACATTATTATACAAAAGTGTCTCTGCGGACTCTGAAAATAATCAGAAACAATAGATTAAGTGAGTAGAGAGAACCCTCTCCCAATGGACAGCACTCCATGCTCTGTGAAATCCCTGTGGAAAGCGTGTGGTGTTACAGAATTTGCTGCAAATACAGACCAAGTCCATAGAAATGCTTGCTACCTGTTATTAAATCTTGCACATCTCAGTAGTCTGTGTCCTAAAAGCAGAGAAGAAAATGATTCCCTTTTTGCCCTGACCTCTAATCACTGAAAACTGTACATAGTCCATGTCCTGTCTTAACCCCTTCAGGCATTTCAATATTTGAAAAGCATGGCTAGCTGCTGTGAAAAAATAAAGCAACTACAGACAAAAACTGATTCTGTTTTTATTCTGTAGAGGAAAGAAAAAAAAATGATTCACAAAAAAACCCTGCAGAGCTAAGGGGTAAGATGTTTGAAATAGATTGAATTATCTTGAGTTAGGACACTGCTGATTTCCCAGCTAGATGTTACTGCTCTCATCTGAGGGGTGGCTTTTGTGTGCTGCTAGTCTATTACAAAGCAACATTAAAGCTCAAACACCCTAAAGTATGTCAGAAATAAATGTCATTGTAAACCTATTTAATCAGTATTCTTTGATCCAACTTTGAATAAAAGCCCACCTAGTGCACTATTGCATTATGGTTTCATTCTTTTTTCACCAGCAGGGATGAAAACAACATGCAGG